CCTACAGGGCCACGCTGCGATCGGGCGCAACGCGCGCTATGTGGGACCGCTATAGGGATCTGAAGAGGGAAGCGAGACGTATTTGCCGCAACAAGAAGAGAGAGGCAGAAATACGTGAGTGCGAAGAGCTTCAAATGCTGGCCGACAGGAGGAATGCCCGAAAATTTTACCAGAGAGTTAGGCGACTTACGGAAGGTTTAAAGACCGGGGCGCACTCCTGTAAGAACAATAATGGCGACCTAGTAACTGATGTCCAGAGCGTACTTAAATTATGGAGGGAACACTTTTCCGCCCTACTAAATGGTAGCAGCACGGAAAGTTGTGGAGAAGAAGAACCCGAGCCCGCAGTCGATGATGACGGAGTCGACGTTCCACCGCCTGACTATGACGAGGTACGTATAGCAATAACGCGGCTGAAAAACAACAAAGCCGCTGGAGCTGACAGCCTGCCAGCTGAGCTATTCAAGTACGGCGGCGAGGAGTTGATAAGGTGCAAGCATCAACTCTTGTGCAGAATATGGTCAGATGACCGCATGCCCGACGACTGGAATTTAAGTGTGCTCTGCCCAATCCACAAGAGAGGTGACCCCGCCATTCGCGCCAACTACCGCGGGATCAGCCTTCTAAGCATAGGGTACAAGGTCTTTTCGAGCGTATTGTGTGAAAGATTGAAGCCCACCGTCAATGAACTGATTGGGCCTTATCAGTGTAGCTTTAGACCTGGCAAATCCACCATAGACCAGGTATTGACAATACGCCAAATCTTGGAAAAGACCCGCGAGAAAACGATCGACACTCACCACCTATTTGTCGACTTTAAAGCCGCTTTTGACAGCACTAAAAAGAGTTGCCTATACGCCGCTATGTCTGAATTTGGCATCCCCTCAAAACTCATACGGCTGTGTAAAATGACGTTGAGCAATACCACCAGCTCCGTCAGAATTGGAAAAGACCTCTCCGAGCCGTTCGCCACAAAACGGGGTTTCAGACAGGGCGACTCCCTTTCATGTGACTTCTTTAATCTGATGTTGGAGAAGATAATAAGAGCTGCAGAACTGAACCGCTCAGGAACAATTTACTACAAGAGCGTGCAATTGCTGGCTTATGCCGATGACATCGACATCATCGGTAACAAAAACCGCGAAGTCTGTTCTGCCTTTTCCAAGTTGGATAGGGAAGCAAAGCGCATGGGTCTGGTGGTAAACGAGGACAAGACGAAGTATCTCCTGTCATCAAACAAACAGTCAGCACATTCGCGCCTTGGCTCCCACGTCACTGTTGACAGTTACAATTTCGAGAAAGTAGAGAATTTCGTTTACTTGGGAACCAGCATTAACACCGATAATAATGTCAGCATTGAAATCCAACGTAGAATCACTCTTGCCAACAAGTGCTACTTTGGACTGAGTAGGCAATTCAGGAGTAAAGTCCTCTCTCGACGTACGAAAACCACGCTCTATAAGTCACTCATCATGCCCGTGCTGGTATATGGCGCAGAAGCATGGACAATGACAACATCCGAAGAGGCGGCTCTTGGGGTGTTTGAGAGAAAGACTTTGCGGAAGATTTACGGTCCTTTACGCGTTGGCGACGGCGAGTACCGCAGACGATGGAACGATGAGCTGTATGAGCTTTACAACGATATGGACATAGTGCAGCGAATTAAAATACAGCGGCTCCGCTGGCTTGGTCATGTCGTTCGAATGGACACCGACGCTCCAGCTCTGAAAGTATTCAACTCGGAACCCGCTGGTGGTAGCAGAGGAAGAGGGAGACCCCCACTGCGATGGAAAGATCAGGTGGAGAAGGACTTGGCTTCACTTGGCGTTTCCAATTGGCGTCAGTTGGCACAGAGGAGAAACGACTGGCGTGCTTTGCTGAACTCGGCCAAAATCGCTTAGGCGGTTACAGCGCCAAAAAAGAAGAAGAAGAGAATGTCATTTTAACTTTTTCGCAAAACGGAGACTTTCAAAAATCATTGCAAATAGTAAAAGTAATATTGGAAAATGTATTTGGCGTTCAGAAAAATATTTGCTCATCATTGGAAATAAACTGTAACAATTTGAAATCTGTCACTCGTAATCATCAAAAATGTAATATTTCAAGTTCTTTTCTATTTTGAACTTTCAGCAATTACTAAACTGTTCTTGTTTGTTTATATACATATTAACAGCCCGATTCTGTGCACTTGATAAATTGAAAATCTTTATAATTTGTAAATTTTTTATTATTTATCAAGAATTAGTATTCAATCACAGAAATCAAAAGCTCTTTTCTTGATAAATTATCAAGATTGAAAATGCTACTGACAAATTGAAACTTCATGTGAAATGTATAAATTTTATATATTAATAAATTTGTTTCTAACAATTAAATACTCCATGTGCCGGCATTTGAACTTGCTACACACGGAATTATAGTCGACATCTCTACCTACTCGGCTACGGCAGTCAAAAGCCTTTTTGCTTTTAAATTCATATTTTTTATATGTGAAAATGAAATCAGTTCCACTAATGTGGAAATCAGTTCTACTAATGTGGAAATCAGTTCCACTAATGTGGAAATCGTAGAGCTTTTTGTTTTATAAATATTGACACAGAATGCGAAGGGAGCTTTTACTTGATAAAAATCTTGATAAAATTTCCTTACAAAAAATGTATCAAGAAAACACAGAATTGGGCGGTAATTATACATTAAAGATAAAAATAAGACCTAAGCTGCGTGCCTTTGAAAATATGGAAATATTGTCTGAATAGGTCTTTGCGTGAATGGCTTCAAAATTTCCCTTTTTTTGATGGCAAACTGACAGACTAAAACATATCAGGTTGGCATTAAGCGTGGTCGTTAGATAGCATTCCTCACAAAGTTCGTTGCAAACGCTAAATACATAAAATAGTTTTCGTCTAAAATACGGCAACGAATTTGTATGTATGTATGTATGTATATAAGGATTTTCAGATCTTTGGGCAATGCAGTTAACGAATTTTTAAATATTTACTCAAAAATGGTATTTCCAATGGATTAGTTTTTCGTAAAATTTTTTGGAAACTGGGCGTGGCCCGCCCACTTAGGTCAAATGTTTGTATCTCGAAAACCACTTCACCAATCTGTACCAAATTTGATATACACATTGCGCCTGACCTTATTAAATACTGTTTTAAAAATTTTTGAAATCGGACAAAAACTACGCCCTCTAGAAGTATCGCTAATATTCAGTTTTCAAAAATTATAGTTGTTTACTTATAACTCTTTAAGCATTTGAGAAAAATGAATCACACAAGAATTTAATGTTTCCTCAATGGATTTCAAACAATTGATGTATAATTTATTTGTGTGCGTTCAATTTAAAAATTTAAATTTTTTTTAGCGTTGTATCGCATGGTTCCGAAGATTTGCCCATATATTGAGCATTAAAGGAGACCTACGTACGATTCTGCATGATTTAGTCGGAAATTCCACATTATATCACTACAGTTAAAAAAAGGGGGCTAACTGCCGTAGAAATATTGAACTTTTTTCTCATTGTAGAAATGGGAAAATCTATCAAACGTTAATTTTTATCTATGATAGGCCTACAAACGTTTGTGATATTCTAAATAATATTACAATAATAAGGTTACAAGGTCTTATCAAGCATATTGTGTAAAAGACTGAAGCCGACCGTCAACGAACTGATTGGGCCTTATCAGTGTCGCTTTAGACCTTTCAAATCCACCACAGACCAGGTATTCAGCATACACAAAATTTTGGAAAAGATCCGCGAGAAAAGGATCGACACTCACCACCTATTTGTAGACTTCAAAGCCGCTTTCGACAGCACTAAAAGGAGTTGCCTATGTATATACCGCGATGTCTGAATTTGGCAGCCCCACGAAACTGATACGGCTGTTTAAAATAGCGTTGAGCAATAGCACTAGCTCCGTCAGAATTGGGAAAAATCTCTCCGAGCCGTTTGCTACCAAAAACAGTTTCAGACAGGGCGACTCCCTTTCATGTGATTTCTTTAATCTGATCTTGGAGAAGATAATAAGAGCTGCCGAACTGAACCGCCCAGGAAAAATTGTTTACAAGAGCCAGCAATTGGCGTATGCCGATGACATCTACATCATCGGTAAGTCTGCTCTGCCTTTTCCAAGTTGGATAAAGAAGCAAGGCGATTAGATTTGATAGTAAACGAGGACAAGACGAAGTATCTCCTGTCATGAAAAAGTCAGTCAGCGCATTCGCGCCTTAGCATTCATTGTTGACAGTTATAATTTCTAGAAAGTAGAGAATTGGGAACCAGTATTAATAATAATTTCAACATAGAAATTGAATACAGAATCACTCTTGCCAACAAGTTGATATGATTTCCTCCTTTTTTTGAAGTCGGTTAATAACAAAGAAATTTTGGTGCCGTTTTGTTTTGAAAGGTAAATAAAAGGTCGGTGAACATTTTCAGCGTATAATATCAGAATTGGCAAATATTGTCCAACCCCCAGAAAACCAGAATTTTTTACTTTTACTTTCAAGTGCTCATATAAATATTGTGCTACCAAGCAAACCAACCATGATATCTGGCTGTATATCTCCGGATGTACAGAAAAATATAACACATTTTTTGTAATTCTTTCTATTGTTCACATCTCGTGGTGTTTGGGAGCTCTTTGTCGAAATAAACATAACATACACAAGCAATATCTAAGAAGGGAAGTACTCCAACCCATGTGAGATCCAGGTGAAATTGAATCAGCAAATGAATCTAAAAACCAGTGCGTTTCATATTTTAAAAACGCAGATCAAAGCGGTAACACCCAATGTTGAATTTAAAGAGTCATTGAATGCAATTCACTCGCAATCGAATCGAAGAACCTGAATAAATAAATAATAAATATTTAAGTTGTTACAACGAAATATTTCTATTAAGATCGGACAGTGATCATCAAGTGGAAGGATTCAATCACGTCATTTGATTGTAAAACGATATTTGTAAAAATTTCTTTTTGTTAGCATATCTATTAATGGGTGTCAAATGGCTCTGAGGGATGATTATTTGCATATAGTACATACAAGTGAATAAGTTATACTTACGGTTATTATGTTACCACAATCACGCATTAGAAGTTCTAATGCGCTTGGATGTTCCGGCTCCACAGACTGCGCTACATCGATGATCCAACACTTCTTATCGTGCCATAGGATATTGTACTCACTCAGATCGGCATGTATCAACTTTGCTTGGTTATAAAGCTTGTGCATCACTGTAATTATTTCTTCATAGGCATAACTCAATTCCCACGAACTTAGTCGTGCATCTTTAAGTTTTGGTGCCGCATTATGATTATTGCCAATGAAAGACATTACTAACACGTGCTTTTTTAAAACAACCACGTCTGGGCAGTTTATACCGACTCTTTGCATGCGCATAATATTATGCATTTCCTTTTCCGCCCACATGTTTATGATAACACGCTTATTTTGTTTACTAAAACGATCTTTAAATCGATAATCATCCTTTATATACCGATCCCGTTGCTTAAACCCGTTTAGAGTAGTTTTGAATATTTTAATAGCACATTCTTTGGGTAATAATTGAGGAGAGCATATGGTTCTATTATATTCATTAACATTTTCAGCATAGCCAGCATCGGAATTGGCATGTAGAATTACTGCCTCTTTGCCTGTCGATATAATACCATTTATTTGTTCCAAAATTTGGTTATTTATTAATTTATAAAGCAGCAGACGAGTGGGTGCGTCTACACCCGCTTCAGCCGTAGCCACATTGGCTTTCCTGTCATGCATTTTATTTTTCTTAGCACCTCGACGTGAATATGTTTTCAATTGGTTATAAACCTGGAATATATGTATTTATAAATGAATATTAAATGAGTTGGTTTGACAAAGTTCATTTTATTAAATCGTACTTTATTAGAGAAATATCACATTACTTGTTTATAACTTAACTAGCAGAAACCGCGAACTTCGACCCGCACAAAATTTCTTTCTTTACTCAAATATTTGGTACTAAGTGTTCACCACAACAAACCCACAGTTCACATTTGGTTTTGTGGTCGTCAGAAAGCATATCCTCCATTGCCGTCTTAAATAACCTAACGAAAGCGTTATGTCCGTGAAGAAGTTTTTTCGGAAACAATGATCCGGCTCGATTATGAATCGTCCTTGAATCTGTATAGAAAAGGTGGTGGCAAATTTAAAATGAGAGAACATCATTGGTCCACAGAAATCCAATATACATAGACTTATTTCAGACGAAATACCATAAATGTCTTACAATTGAATTTGAAGGCATTCATCAAGAATTGTCTTTATTTTGTTTAGTCGCCGTAAAGCAAGGACCGCAATGATTATGGTGGTCGATTTAACGGTGGTAATTTGATTTTGATCCCTGGTGTCTCCGAATGACTTCACTTGACGATTTTTAGCAATAACTCGACTCTAGCGCCACCTTGCGCCTCTTTTTTTCAATAGCATTGCCCCTACCGTTACCAATATACATCTTGTTTATGAGGCAAGTGGGAATATAAATACGAATTTTAGTAATAGCTCGACTACAAAGCCACATGGCGAGCCATTTTTTTCGCAGAAATATTTCCCTTCACGTTACCAATATATATTTTGAATATTAGCCAAATCAGATCATAAATAAGATTTTTAATAACTCGACTCCAGCGCGTTTTAAGTTGTGAACCTAAACTATACAAGGACTTTAGGACAAACATTTCATTAAATGCATTTCGGCCAATTACGAGTTCACTCGAAAACACACGTACCGAAAAATTATATATGTATTTATAGATAGGTAAAAGTTCCAATATGTTTGGAAGGCGCCATGCCCTCTTTACCAATAGCCCCCACTTTTCTACAAGAATACGGGATTGATTTCAAAACCTTCATACCAAGTTCCTGGCCTCTACCACAACGCTTCCAGAAATATGCAGTGGCTATAACCAAAAAAGCCTATTTCAAAAAAAAAACGGTACAGCCGTTCGCGAGATCACTTCTTACAAAAAGGTGGCACTTCTGTTAATACAATTGGTATAGATAATAACTACCGATAAATAGCCAAAACCCGCTTGCCTTGCGACGCCTTAAAACATTTCGAACTGTAAAACAATCATTCAATTCTATTCTATATAATAGCTTGGTTCCTGGTCCATCTATAAGATAAAAGTATCCTATGTGTTCATCGTGTTCTAACATACGAAGTAATCGGAGCAATTCTTTAAGCGCAAGCTCTGCTGAGCAACAGTCAATAACTTTCTGGACAAAAATTGTGCTAACTCATATATTAAGTAACTTAGCATCAATCTGTGTATAGTTACGTGTATACATAAAAACAAATCTCTTATTTGACTTCCTCTGGGAGGAAAGAAAACTTACTTTAATCTGTGAATTCATATTGATATTTGAGGGCTCATAGCACTCCAGCAATCGCTAATTAAAAATGAGTGAACCACCTGATATTGGAAAAAACAAAAACTCACCTCAGCTTTTGACAAAACAAAAAAGTTAAAAATCATTACAACCGGCCCTAAATACATGGTTATTAAAAGAAATCCTGAAACTGAATCACTTGCCAACGTATCACCATTTCTAATTAAAAAATCAATTGACTACACCTACCCAGGTTCAGTCGATTCGTGTAAAATATTAAGAAACGGTACTCTCTTAATAAAAACGAAAAATCTCGACCAAGCAAAAAAACTAATAACTCTAACCGCAATTACAAATTCAATTAAAGTGGAAGTCTCAGAACATTATTCCCTCAACTACACGAAACGAGCGATATACTCCAATGATCTCCGCGGCATTCCAGAAGAAGAGATACTAAACGAACTCAAGCTTCAAAACGTAGTAGAAGTAAAAAAAAAATCATGAAAAAGTTGGTGAACTGTTAACTAAAACCGGTTTGATAATTCTTACATTCTCCTCCCTCTCCCTACCACGTAGATGTGTCAACTGCTATCGGTTCGGCCATCATGTTCATAAAACAAAAAGAACTCAAATCAATAAAAACAATTGAAAAGGTCGACAAAACAGCAGTTAAAATTTACTCAGAACGTCATGCCCAATCAAATTCAACATACTCCTCCATCCTCCAACGCCCGTGCACCATTCCAACAGACTCAATAACCTCACCAAGCAAAATAAGAAATCCAATAGAAGGGAATAATTCACCACACTGTTCTAACTCAACTCCTACAAAACCAACAACTACTAATCCCACTCATCCAGCTAACAATTCTACCTCGGTTGAAACACACAATAATAATTTGCCACTCGCACACACACAGATGCCCCCTAACACCTCCACTACAATTCAACGCATCTCAGACACAAAATTGAAAATATTTCCGAGAAACATCTCCAACCGCCTTAAATCAGAATTAAAAGCCAAGTCAAATTCTAAACACTCTTCCACATCGGTAAGAGAGCAACAGGAAAATCTCACAACCAACTGGGCACAAACTACAGCGAACGATCTCGAATACGTCGACGACGTAGATATATTCACAACTGAGGAGAACGATATTTAGATTAAAATCCAGATATTAATCATCTAATCTACTTATATATTTAGCTTTATAGTTACATATACATGATGCTTTCCATTTCCAGACAACCGGTCAGGTACGAGCATGATTTTTAATTTCGACCAAACTCAAATACATGTTTGTTGGTCCAAATAATGAGACACGTATTTTTTCTTTTGGCTCGGAAAAATTTTTCGGCCGAATTAAACGCAATTTTTTTTTCAGGCAAAAATCGATTATTCGAATTGACAAGGAGAATTTATTTTTTAAATGCCCATAACTTTGTCAAAATTTAATAGATTCTAACAATGTTTTTACTCAAATGTCAGTAATTCTTGTCACTTCAAGATAAAATGATATAATTATTGATTTTCATTATTTAAAATTTTTTATTTAACAATAAACAAAAAGTGCAAATTTTTTTTAAATTTAATTTCTCGAAAAGTGTATTTTTTTCTCAAACTTTTTTACCGGGAAAGAGACACTTTGAACTACAATCAACCCAAATCTCTAATAGCGAAGATTTTTTT